GCATAAGGTTTGGAGGGCTATAGTAGTTTGGCCCAAATAGGTATTGTGACAGCACAGGTTACTAACTTTATTTTTTGGTATGAGTTGTCACTGGACTCTATTGGCTTGCATTGTATTTTCTTCTCAAAAAAAACCTTTGTAAAAACTGTTTGAGCTTCACTGAGACATGTTAAAGAATTAATTACAAAGTAAAGCTGAAGGAGAAAATTAATTTCGGAAACACAAGAGGTTACTTTTCTTTTCCTCCCTTTTCTGGAAGTGGGGGAGGAAAGGCAGTTATTTTCATCTTCATGCTGGGGGCAGGAGTTGGGAGCTGTCCAGTCGATAACCTGGCCATCAGAACAAGGTTTGTAATTAAAAGGTCAGTGACCTGGAAAGCTAGGGCCTCACTCTCAGGGCTTCTCAGTAATGACGGCGCTATTAAATTAAGACTGTTATGAAATCAATGCTAAAAAAGCTTTCATGGTAACGAGATTCCACTCAAGGACATGCAAACTGCCTTATGAAATGAACGTAAATTATAAAAAAAGAAAAGTAATAAAAGAGGGTTAAATTGAAAACTGCTGAAGAATTTACTTTCTTTAAAGCCCTCCAGCAGATGGCTGTGCCCCCTTCTCTCAGGTCCTCAAGGTGATCCACTTGGGTTTCTTTGGCAAAGGAGAAAAGACACAGGTTCAACTTCCAAGAATGCCAACTACAGAAAGAGGAAGAAAATTAAGCCCATTTTCTATTGGAGACTCTGGGGTTGACAGCATTTGTTTCCAGGGAATCAAGTGTCTTTCAGCTCTGACTGGGAAGGGGCATGTACTATGAAATAATTTATTCATCTCTTCAGAAATCACTATAGCCTGTCACCTTGTCACTGGCAACATTTTCTGGAACTCCGATGCACTGGAAAAAACTGTGCAAGACCTACAGGAAAACCTTGTGTAGTAACTCACTTCCTACCAGCCAAAGTAATGAAACAGATTAGTAGACACAACATGTAAAAGGGCAACGTGTCCAACAACCTCCAACTCATCTTCCCAAGCAAGAGTGCAGCTGCTTTTGGAAGCATATAGCCCATTATGCTACATATACAAAAGACCAATCCAGGCAGTGTATCTTCTGAAGACTGTCCAACTTTCTGGGTGGACATTTTCCCAATATAACTCAACAATTATACATTTACTTGCCCTAATGCACTGCTGTTTTCCCATCACTATAATTTCTGAGCTCCGCATATGCTTTTGTCTGTTCTCCCAATGCCACTCTGGGAAGGCATTAATCGTTTTACAGATGAAGAGAACAAGCAACTAACAAAAAAGTTCTTCATCCAAGATTAAACAATAAGCCTCTAAACTAGCAGATTTTCCCTTCCCTGCCCCAAAAGACAAGCACCCTGAAAAACTGAGCTCCTCATGTATAGTGCATTTCCACCTCCTTTCTCCATCTTGCCAGAAGTTACAGATTCAGAGTACGCAGAATTAACAAGCCACATGAGTTACCGGATGGGTAACTGAGCAGTACAGGACATCTGAGGCACAACAGTTAGATGACAGACACATTTCCACAAGGGTTTAAACCCCACATGCTGTCTAATTACTCCCAAGGCGCCGCTGATTCTGTGGCATGTCATCAGCAGAATCAGCGAGTTGGACAAAAAACAAACAGCATCTTTTTTTCCTTTCTTTTCTTTCAGATACTCTGAGGGGAAACAGCTGTTTTTCCCTTCATCTGAAGAAGTTCACGATAAAAAGGAGGAAATGTCATAAATTACACAAAATGCCAGTGTAAGCTTCAAAGAAAATGATAAATGATTCTAATAACTTCATGTTTCTCATTAATGCCTCTGTATTTGGGAGTTTAGAAGTGCTTAAGACAACAGAGAAATCTCATCCAACTCTTGGAATACCTTTTACAAATTCAGGACACCCTCACTCTCCCAACTGTCATCAACACTACCATCCCATGTTCCGGAGAGAGCAGTTCAGCAAACCCCTGACCTGCAAGTAACAAGGAAAGCCTACTTTCAGCCTCTGCAACTACTGTTTCACAAGAAACCAAACCCAGTCCAGCTGATGATCCTGCAGAAAATTTCATTTCTCACTGCACTGAAATGCATTAAACAAAATCCAGTTCCTATATTACATATTAAATAATATTAAAAGGAAATAAAATTTGACTGGCCTTTTTTTTAGGAAGGAGATACTTACAAAACAAAGAAAAAACTATAATTCAAGGCGGAACCATCTCTGCAAGTCTTAAAAGTGAAATTTCTTAGGCAAAGTCAGTATTGCAGGACCTGAACTTCACCCACAGCTAATCGTCCAATCCTGTCCTTGTAGCCTACCCAGGCCGTAGCTGGGGTAGTGGAAGGCTCCTGCAGGGGTAGGGCACCTGGTCTTTTCCTTCTGCTTTCACAGACACAAGGTGATCCCGTACCATCCTCTCCACTGCACAAGTTTTTAACTAGACTTAGTGGGGAGTCATAGACCTCTCCTCTATGGTTCCATGAAAGTAACCACAAAAGACAAGTTCATACACAGTGTACAGCTCTCTACAGATATGAAAATTGCCCTCCACTCAAATTCTTCTGGGGTCCATATAAAAGATCTTCTACTGTGATTTCTGCTTGAAGAAACTTGGATCAGAGTACCTCTGCATTATTTCCTACAAAGATAATTTTGAGAGACTCTTTTAACTGAAATGGTTTGTCTACAGAAAATGCTTTTTTAACTGGCAGTGAGGACTTCTCTACCAGACAGCCTAATTATCTGTAAACTGGGGATAAACATCACTATTGGGATGACAATGACTGTACATCAGAGAATAGGGGGAATAGCCTACCAAAACCGTGTAATCCCTCATTTACTCAGGACTAAACTAGCCACGACATCTACGTTTCAAGAATAATTGCATCCATCTGCTTGAGCACATAGGTACCGTGTACCTTCTGCTGTCAAGGTCATGAACAGAGGTCATGTTGAAAGCTCAGTGGTCAGATTCCATATGGGCGTGTTTCCAGTGACTGCTGGGTACAGGCACTACTGGACCCTGTTTCTTCCTATCTCCTACTGTTAAGTTTTCAAACAAACAATTAGCACAAAGGGAAGGAGGGCTAATTAACAAACAGGAACAAACAAACAGCTCTACCAAACCATTTCTGCTCTTTAGTAATTATTAGCCAAGTAATTCATAAGAAGTATTAGTCAGGCCACAGTTTCTCTGTGCCTCCATCTCCCCACCCTTCCTCTTCTCCCAGTCAGGGATTTATTAAAATTAAACAGATTAGATGGAGCTCCTGATACTAAAAACTGTTCAGCGAAGCCTGCGGTGGGGAAGTGCAGAGCAAACACCAGAGACATTTGTCTCTAAATTGCTCTAAATACCTTCTGCAAATGAAATTCTAACCCAGCTGTGTTGAGAGAGAAAATGAGGAATAACTGGTCGTTGTCAGCACAGAAGAAGATCAGGCAGTTATAATATTGCACGATATACTGGGGGCTAAGGATCTCTCGGCAACAATAGATTTTGTATCAGGTTACCCCGGGTAATCAGCACAGCTTTTAGGCTCAGCTTTCCCTTGCTTCATTGCTTCGATGATAGAGTTGAAATCCCCAAGCTTTTATGATTAATTACTCCCCGTAGGTCCACATATTTCAAGGAAAAACTCATGGAGTACAGCGGCCAACAGGCTCCAAATTTTAATGCCATCCTGATGGCAGGGCAGGGCAAGTAGCATACCTATGTGATTGGAATGTTCTCTAACTGGCACTAGGACAAGCAGTGAGAGGATCACACTCAAAATGATCCATGAACTACTTGTCATGACATCATTGCTAAAACACAAGACTGCCATTCCCTTCTAGGTCCTTCGCTATTCAAGATGAGCAACATGGTGCATATACTGTAACTCTCCATCTCATGACATCAGGTTTCCGGCATCTCAATAAACAGTTCATAACCCCAAAGAGAATAATATATATTTCATAGGCTTCCCTACTTTTCAAAATGGAAAAACTTTAGCTATAGAAGTACTTATGAAGTACTTATGACTTCAATGTATAAGTGGGTCACTCCCATCTGAAGTTTGGAGTTTGTATTTTCAGTATCATTCCAACTGCTTAAAGTGCTCCATAGTGCATGTAATTAACTCCAAGGTAAGATTGTCCTTATTATTTACATCTTGTGGTAAGGATCTAAGCAATATGGTCCCAGGAAGGTAGCATAATATGGAGTGAACTTCACCTGAAATGCACTGTAAGTTGTGGACTTGCAACTTCAGAAAGAAAAAAAATAACAAAGGATAGTTCCACTGTGAGTCAGAAAGCAAAATAAATTCTCAGTAGGCAATGGCCAAAGTATGTTCCATCTGTCTGAGACGATATAGGATTTGTCAGGATCTGTTCTATCCTTGCTATAGAAAAGGGCTAAACTCAGTCAGTAGTTTACCATTTCAGCCTGAAAGTCAGGTTAACCCCAAGCCTGACCTTAACCTGACCTTGTTTACTTTCACCAGGTCCTTTGCCCTTCATTCCTCTCTCTGACTCTCTTTGGAAACATTCGACCTTTTCACCTAAAGTTGGTCATTCTAAAGCCAATGCCAGTAAGGTTAAAACTGACCAACTAGTCCACAACTCTGAACTGTCCTCATTGCAGAAAAGATCTGATAATAGTTAACCCAAAAACTTCCAATGTGTCTTCTGTGTTCTACAATTCCACATCTGGTGCCAATATTGCTCCAGTCAGTTTGGAAGAAAAGAGACTGATATTTCTTACAAACTTTAAATCTTTTTTTGAGACAGACTCCTTGCTTTGTCCTTAACATCTAATTTTCCACAGCAATACATTTTGGCTTTATGCTAACTCAAGCTCCCTCATTATCACTGAGACCACAAACTTAAAGAGTCCATACCTTTCTTCTTCAGAAACGCTCTCCTGGTTGCAAGAGGACTTTGGCGGACTCGTGGATTCTGTAAAAACTTCACTGCTGTACCACAAACTTAAAGAGGCCATACCTTTCTTCTTCAGAAACGCTCTCCTGGTTGCAAGAGGACTTTGGCGGACTCGTGGATTCTGTAAAAACTTCACTGCTGTCACAATCTGATGAGGGTAGGAGAATTAGGGAAATGGAAGAGAGAAAAGATCCAAGTTAGGACTGGTCAAATTCCTATTTTACATTATGCATTCCGTACTGCAAAGTAAGTCATCACATCCAACACATGGAGATGGTCTGGAGCTGACACCGATCCAACTTTCAGAAATGGTTCAACGAGCATCAGAGTTTGTGGCTTAACTCTAATCAGAGAGCACAAATATGGTATTTCAACCCAGAAGTTTCTTTCTGAATTACTCTTGGAGTAGTTCAACCTGTACAAAAAACGCCATTAAGATTCTTAGGGGTTTCTGTCATTTATAGTGTGATCTTCTTAACCTAGGTTGGCTCCTATAGTTGAGGGCAACCTTCAGGCATTGCATGGGATCTGTAACAATAGGCTTACTAGTAAGAATGCTTCCTTTCTATCTGACTTACTGAAAGCAATAAATAAACCTCAGCTTGTCATGACTGGAAAAGAAGCAACTTCACATGTTTTGGATCACATAACAAAAATATACAAAAAGTCACTTTTCTTGAATAAATGGGTAGGTGAGTAGTTAAATTTATGTTCCACACTGGCAGAAATCACAGATTACTTTTGTCTAAAGGCTGACTTCTACGTGCTTCTTTAAGGTGACAGAGCACTTAAAACAAATCACTTATTCAAACAAAAAGGTAAAGTATAGGATAATAATGGCATCAATGACAATGGCACTGTTTTTTACATTTTCATTTAGTGCCAATGAAAGGTATTTGATTTTTTCTTCATGTGGTAGGTGAACTTTCCACATACTCTCCTATACTATCACACGTTATTACATCTTGCTGCACTAGTGATTCACTTCACTTTTTATACAAAGACATCTGTTGTGGCACCAGGGGTAATAACGTGCCTAAAGTTAACAGCACTTAGGGGATGGACACATCCTTGTGAAGTAGTGGAAGAGATTCCCTCCTTCCTCTACAGCTAGAAATAACCATGCATATGCATGGAAGAGGTTTTTATCCCCAAACAGTGGCATAAACTTTCTCCTAAAATGGTGGTATATGCTAGACCTACGTTAGGTAGGTCTTGAAAAGTTTATCTTAAAATACAGTTTCCGGAATTCAGTTCCAAAAAGGTTTTCAAAACTTTTCACAGCAGAAAAGGAAGGAAAAAAAATAGCATCACTACTGAAATCACTAAGTTTCACTTTGTGTTTGAATCAAACCCTTCGAATATGCATTTCTGGTCAGAGAGCAAAGTTCTGATGGGTTTAATGGCACTTTCAATGTACTCCTCAGTGCATTCCATCAATGTTTTTTTTCTTTTAAATTGCATCTCTTATTTCTTTAAATACATTAATCAGGCTAGTGTAGGCAAAACGGATCCATTGGACAATGCAATAAACATGAATTATCATCTATCCAACACGCATAATGGCTTAAAAATACATAATAGCAGGTGTAGTTTAAATGATTAGTTATTACACCTGTGGTGGGTCTGATTCAATTGGGGAAAATCATCTTTAATAGGTTAAAAGGTTTAGATCACCAGGCTTCCCTTAAAGTGGCTGTAGAGAGGGTATGATGGAGTACGCTGTCATTACTAATTCATTTAAGAAAAACATGGGGGATACAGCAAAGAACAGCATAAACGAGCGAATCCAATTTAAACATCAGGTAAAGCAGAAAACACCTTTTAAAAAAGCATGATAAATGAATTTGGAAGAGAGATGAAATTGACATATTTATTTTAACGGGAATTTGACAAAGTCTCAGCACACTTCAAAGTTGGGAAGATAAAATGAATGGGGTATTTTTAATTCTCTTCCTTTTCTTATTTTCCTTCACTTTTTTCCTTAAGTTTACATTCTGTAATTTTCAACCATAAAATACCATAGCAAAATACCCCACATAAAGTACACTTCGGTTTCATTTATGTGCATTTGATCTGTCTCCAGCTGAAATGCAGGTGACAGGCAAATCACAGATTTAAACTGTGCTGATATTGCTATGCCAGATGCAGAAATATAAAGCACCCAAACTAATAACCTTAAGATAATATGCTGAATAAGAAAGATGCCCAAATGAGCAGACCAACAGATATGTGAACATATCAAAACCACTTTCCTTCTAACAATAATTACTTGTTTGTTTCTTCAGAAACTCCTCAACACTCCCTCCCACTTTTAGTGAGCTGGAGACACAGACACAAACGGCCTGCAGACCCGAAATTCTGCAAGCTCTCATATTTAATTATCAGGTTTTAAGCATTAAAAAAAGTGTAAGAAATAAGCAGTAATTTTCATTGTGCTATTTCAATCACAACCATGTGAACATTTCATTGATTCTAACCCTTCATTAAAACTTATTTTTCCTTGTAAAAAATGTGAACATTTCAGTAGTAAATTTCACTCCAAAATAAACTCCTATTTTATCTCCCCCCTGCATCACTTCCTGCATTATTCACAATGTTTTTAATCTTAAAACAAAATAAAATTACAAGCAACAACAAACTTCATAAAAAAGAATGCTGGACATGTATTCCTTCCCCCAATAATCCCATGTTTCTCATATCTGTGTTTGCATTTACCTCTGAACATTCCTCCTATAGGCTGAGCTGAAACGTCTTCATTTTTATAATTCATCTTGTATACATGAGCAACTTCTGAAGCAATTTTGGCCATGTCAAAATGCCAATATTTTCAACAAACATACACAAGTACTTTCCTACCCTCTATGGATCATTTTATTTGCACAAACAAGGGCAACTGCAGTCCATAATTTAAACAACACAAAAAGGAAGAGGAAGATGAGAAGACTTTGCAGTCCTGCGTATAGCAAAAAAAAATCATGCAGCAAATAGCACTCTGACTCAGCCGGTAACATTGTTCCATACTATTTCTTTATCATTTGTAACACTTCTCCAAATTTTTATAGTATTAGGACACTGCCAAATAATGTGCATTGTATCACTACTATGATTCTTAGATTGCCAGCACACACTGGCCAGCAAACTAGTTTTATCTACTGGATCAGGTACGAATTTCTCTTTATGAAAGACAGTTTACTTGGCTTTTAAAAGCAAGTCAATTCCCCAAACTTGCTATCCCACTACTGCTTCTCCTGCAGTGATATGATACACAAAGACATATTTCTGACTGGGTGGTGGTGGGTGGAATCCTGCAGCAGGTCTTGTCCTACAGTTTGATTTTCTAATTAGAAGATAAATGTAACAATTCATGGATTATATTTGAGTCTGGCCAAATTACATAAATTCAGGCCAAATATTCTGCTTCAATGTCAAAGATATAAAAGGGAGACAGGAACTTTATTGCAGATGTTGTGGGAGTGCAGCAGGCTGGCAAAATTCTGGGCCAAAGCACAGTACTTTGACGTTATAGCCAAGGTCCCCCATTCCTAATTTCCCTTCCTTTTGTGTTAATGGGGAAGGTAAAGCCAGTCTTATTTCTTATCATGCTCAAAGCTGCAGGGTTTCCAAAGAAGCAATCTGAGCTACTTTATCAGTTAACCAGCATTGAAAAATAAAGCATGAAATTTAAAATACTGTGGCAAATGACCGCTTTCTACCATCTAAAAAACCAAAACCCAATCAATTAACAAAAACGTAAAAGAAAATCACCTTCATTAATAAAAGTTCCACGGGATTTGGTAACAGAGTTCCATGTGGAAAACAGAATCAAAAGCCACGGGGAGCACAGCCCGTAAGAACTCTAATAGATTTCCTAAGACTGGGAACCCTCTGTAGGTTATTACTAAACAGCATGTGTTGATAGACTGAGACTTTGAGATGACCTGTGATGTAAAGGTTGGGTCTGAATTATACGTTGCAAGGGATGGTATTTTGTCTTTCTGAGTGGATCTGTATCTGTTTAAATGCAACACTTCTTTTCATTAAGCAGAGGCGGCACAGGCCATGAACTATGCACAGACAGTTTACATTACATGTGCGGAAGCAATCAACACTGGCAATATACATGACGTATGTAAAAGAAGTTGGAATTAATTTTTTTCCAGTGTATTAAAAAATAATAATATGGCAGTATCAACAAACACTCAACCTATTTCAGCCAGAGCAGAAGGCCACAGCTATAGGGCAAATGGAACTGATCAATATATTAGCCTACAGCAACACCCCCTCAGTGTACGGCTGTATGTTTGCAAGGCTCAGAAGATTAAATTGTCTGTGAAAGGTTTCTGCACTCCTACTCTAAAGGAGATACCCAGAATCCTGTTAACAAGCATCAGGCTAAAGCCAACTTACGTTTTAACAAGGGCTGACTTAAAAGCCTGGCACTGCAATGAACAAGAAAATCCCTTCAAACAGAAATGCTGCATTTTAGTAAGAAATCAGTGCTCTGCCAGGACTAACTTGACAAATATGGTTATCGGTGGCACACGGAAATAGTTGCAAAGCAGCTGTTAATCAGGGAAACACATCATAGAACGCTGATGCTAGCACTCATGAAAAAATGCAAGGGGCTAATTATGAAGCCATATATCTCACTAAAGAGGCACTGTTCCCTGAGATTCCAGGCAGAGCTCTCTCCGAGTCGGGGTCCTGGGACACTACATACGCAATGTGCTCTAATGCAAGCTTCCTTCTCCCAGGACAAACCTTTTCCCAATTCAGTGTTCTGCGCCCCAGAATTCCGGTGAAATTCGTATTTCACAGAAGCGGCTTGTTATTTCTACAGAAACTATCTGCAGGTCAGTCAGGAGAGCGGAAATGCTTTAAAGCTCCTACTATTTCACTGAAATTTTTATGAAACCATACAGAACCCCAGGAATTATTTCTGTTGTGAGAGAACCTAGAAACCTACAAAGTTTGGCAGATCTCAAAGTCCTATCCCAAAAAGTTTAAAAATGCAGTAACAAAGATATTAAAACCCTCATGTAAAAGAGAAAAGAAAAAAAAATACAATTTAGAGCAAGATTCACTGTAGTCAGAAAATGAGAAAAGAACAAAGGCAAGGAAGAAACAAGCGTCAAACTATGTCTGAGATTAAGAACCCGTAACTAAGAGAATACAGAACAGTAACCAAAAAACGGTAACACGAGCTAAAAAGGAAAAATCCCGGGTGCCTAGAAACTCGGACAGCGGAGAGTTCAGTGAGTGAAATCTAACTCAAAATCTTCAACGTAACAGCAGCTAGACGAAAGCTAAGAAGACAAATCTCAGCCACGTATTTATCGCCCCGTTTTCGCGAACACTTGAGAGAACAAGGCTTCTGAAGGCACCCAGGGGTGCGGGCTGGGGGCAGGTGCGTTTCTGTCCAGCGCTCGGAGGAGAAGCAGCGGGGCGGGGAAGGGGCC